AGGTGAGCCGCGCCCCGGAGCGCAGGGAGCCCGCAGCGCCGCTTCCCCGGGCGGGTTTCCCCTCGGTCCGCCATCGCCGTCCCTCGGAGCCCAGGGTGCTGGCTCCGGAGAGCTGGGGATCTGGGGAACAGCAGAGAGGTGGTCTCGGCTGGGGCCGGGGTGACACGGGCTCGGAGGCTGCGGGGGCGCGGGGCGCAGACACCCGCCCTGCCCCCGGCCCTGTAACTCCGGGAACCCCGTCTCCGCTGTCGGCTGCCGTTTCTTGCCTTCTCTTCTGCCGCTGCCCTGTTGCAGCCACCGGCTGTGCGCCCGCGCGGTCCGAACCCTGCAGCCCTCAGGCCGGAGCGCGGGCGCGGAGCGGGGCGAGCCCGGCGCCTCCCCGAGGTAGCGCACCTGCGGCGGGCGGCGAGCTCGGCGAACATGGCCGCCTGGCCCGGCCCTGCGCCCGGCTCCGCCTGCCCCGCGTCCTGCCGGCCCTTCCCGCGGGCCGGGGCCGGGGTCTCCATCCCTTGGGGCACTCACTCTGCTGCTGTAGTCTGCGCTGGCCGCGCTCAGGACTTGACACAACTTCTCCCCAGGCCGCACCTGGGCGTTTTCGGGTGGGTCGGGTGGGTCGGGGTGGTCCGGGCACTTATTAAAAAAAGGCAGCCGTGTCTTTCCGAGATGTTCGCCTCGGTTTATCTGTGCCTCCTCGGTTTGCTCCCCACCCACCCCACCCCCCCGAGCCAATTATTTGGCGACATAAACCATGAAGTGTGCAAAACAGGAGAGACCCTTGAATTTTAGAGAATTGGTGAGAATTAGGATTGAGGAGTAAAAATGTCCATTACACCCACTTGAATCTAAGGAAACTGTCATTTTTCAGTGACTCAAAGCTGACCTAGTAGGGCTCTGTTAAATAGTATGGCTTGTGTATGTAATTGTAGCTTGTAAGAACCTTAGTCTATGCCTGTGTCTATCTTCTTGGTGTGTGTGTGTGTGTGTGTGTGTGTGTGTGTGTGTGTGTGCGCGCGCGCGTGCGCGCGCGCTCTCGCGCTGTGATCCATGCCGGGCTAGAAAACGCATCACTTGCAGCCGAAACCTAATGTTAATTCAAAATGGCAGCATGAAAAATCAGGCCAGGCGGAAGCAGCACAGACCACAGCCAACAACGACTGCCCCCTGACTTCAGCCTTGGAGGGAAGTCTCTCTTGGGTATGAGGTAGGGAGTGATTCCTGTCGCTAGTTAAAATTTAGCGTTTGGCAGAATCCTAGGGAGTGAGTGGGAAGTTTGCAAAGCTGCTATTCTTTTCCCTAACTTGTGAAAAGCTATACAAAACCACATTGAAACTCTCTATGATTTTGATCTGATTTTCTTCAGGCTCAGCTAAAGTTGACAATGTGACTGCTAGTGTCTGATGCACAACTTAGATATGTTTTGTACCTACAAGCAGATCTTAAAAGAGACGGTGTAGAGTGTAAGCGTCAGCCAGGAGCAGTGCACATGACAAATACCGTGCAAACAGCACTGCATTGGAAGAGCTGATTTGGCACCATGAGTAAGTACCCAGGAACCAGGGAATGGCAAGTTCCTGAAAGGTGACTCATTTTAGATTTTTTTCCCTTTTCCCTTTTCCCTGCCATGCTGCCAGCCATCTTGTCTTTTAGGAAGGAGGAGATGCAGGAGGAAGCAAGTGCTCTGGTGATAATGCAATAAACGAAGATGGCCCAAAGGTCAGGAATGGCAGAGCTAGAGGCATCCTGACCAAGTTTGCTGTCAGCCCCTCTTTTTACAATGGGAAGGCTGAATCGAGTAGGACAGATGGACCACCAAGGTCATAGACCTGACTAGTAACTGACAGTGAGAATCCAAATCCAGGTCCTGTAATTCCATGTCCACAGTTCCATATGGCACCTTTACTGTTACTAGGATGGCAGATACTTTGAACAAAGAGAAACCAAGCTGTGCCTTGAATTTAAAAGCCCATAGGTGTTTAAAGTAAGGTTGCCATAATTTCTTATTGCAAGCCCATTGAACTTCTTAAGCTATGTCCACCTCACATTCACATTTCCTAGTTATGAGACTGCACTGAAGAACTAAAGCCTTAATTGTAACCCGAATCTTTGGGGATGGAAAGTGTATTCTTTTATTTAAAAATTAGATGCTTCTGTTTGTGTTTGGCCAATTCATTTGGAAAAAAAAACCTAAGCAGTGCATGTGTCTAGTTTTTTTGAGTGTATTAATTGTAAGTAGAAGTAAATAACAAGTCCGTTTGAAAATAACTTGCGCTGAAAGCAGAAGTTTTTTCTAAAATTTGAACTTGAAGTTTGCAAGTTATCATCAGTGACCCTGGATCGACCAAAGCAGAAGTAGAGATTGCGTGTGGGCTTAGTGTCCGTGCAGTAGTGGTGTGGACAGGGACATCCTTGTGTTCTGTGTTCATAGTCAGTGATGTGGGAAGCAGAAGTAGGCGTGAAGTGGAAAACAGGAACAACGTCTTGAGACAGTGGGGTAGATGGGAACTGGGTGTGGGTAGATACGTTATTCTGATGAGACATGTGCCATGAACAGTGCCTTGCATTAGAGTATGAGTGTGAAGACATGCCTAAGAGAATTCAAAATAACAAGCTTTAAATATATGTAGGGCTGGGGAGGTAGTTCAGTGCTTGCCTAGCATGTTTGAGGCCCTGGGCTTCATCTTCAGCATCACCAAATACAATACAATTTAAAAAATACATAATACAGTTTATGTTTGTTGGAGAACAATAAAAATACAAATACACAAAAGTTATTTTTAAGAAATCATTATTTTCTTTGAGGTGAGAATTGAATTCTGTGCCATCCAATTTGGCAGCTATTAGCCGCTTGGGGCTACTAAGCACTTGAAATGTGACTGGTCTGAATTGAGATGTCCTATCAGTGTAGAAACATACACCAGTTTCCAAAAATTTAATGTGAAGAGAATTTAAGGTGCGTTGTAAGTAATTTTTGTATAGATATTATATTGAAGTAATATCTTGGATATATTGAGTTAAATAAAATGTATTAATAAAAAGCTTCATCAGTCTTTACCTTTTCTAGTGTAGTTGCTAGAAAACACAAAATAGCAGGTATGACTTCTGTCTGTCTTGTGTTGAATTTCTGCTGGACAGTATTGGTCCAGGTCATGAACAGGGAATGGAAGTCGGTGGAGGCTCTTGATGGTGCTTGTACAATTGGGCATACAAGAAGGAACACACAGAAACTGGAAGGGGATGGGATGACTGTTGTATTGCTCAGCATTTCATTACTGTGACCAAATATCCAACATACATAAAGGAGTGAAGATCTATTTCAGCTGTCTGTTTCAGCAGTTTCCATCTGTGGCTGGTTGTCTCCAGGGCAGAAACATGATGGTGGAAAGGCATGGCAGGGGAAAGATGCTGACTGTGTGGCGGCCAGGAGCAGAGAGAGCAGGAAGAGCCAGAGAGAGGGCAGGACCTGAGGACAGGAATATTCCCCTCCAGGTTATGCTCCTAGTGTTTGCCTTCTTCCCACCAGGCCCCTTCCTAACGGCATATTCAGTTGTGAATTTATGAATGGGTTTATCCACTGATGAGGTTGAGGCCAGCTCTCCTGTGATCTCCTCCCTTTCCCAAAGCTCCACCTCTGAGCGCATAAGCCGTTTAGGGGACATTTTGGATCCAAACCATATTAAGTGGAGAAGGAACACAAGGAGCAAGTGGTGACATTTTGTAGGTTGAGAAGAGATGTAGTGGTTTGGAACAGCTGTGTTATAAGAGGTTTTTCCTTTGTGCTGGGGATGGATCTAGGGCCTTGTACGTGCTGGCTATTTCTGTCCTACTGAATTACCTCCCAAGCCCTGTGATACCTTTTGAATCTGAATAAGAAGACTATCTAGTGATCTCAGGACTTAGGAATGGAAACAGGGTTGGCAGGTGTCATGGTGGTGGGTGGGTCTGTAGGTAGGATGGTTCAGTGCTGAGGTGACTGTGTTGTACATTGCACAGTAACTTCCTCAATCTGACATATCTGTGTTGACCCAGCCAAAGGAGGTTAATGGACCCCAGGATAGAGAGAGCACCCTAGGCAAATCAGGGGCCCTGGAGCCTAGCTCTGGTTCTGCCTGTAATTAGGAGTATGACCTTGAACAAGTCACTTGTTATTTTGTCTCCTTTCTAAAAATGGGGTGAACGAGAGCTGTCCACATGACACTTGGTAGTTTCCATGGGATAAGATATGGCATATTAAAAATGTAAGTGATGCTGGCGGGGTGGCGCATGCCTGTAATTCCAGCACTCAGGAGGCTGAGGAAGGAGGATCAGTGTGAGTTTGAGACTAGCCTGTGCTACAAAGTTAGCTCAAGGCCAGCCTGAACTGCATAGTGAGACCCTGTCTCAAAAAGACCAAAAAAAAAAAAAAAAAATCATATTTATTTATTAAAACACTATATAATGAGATAAAACTTTTACTTCTATACATGTGTATTAGAGAACAAGAAGAAAAAAAAAAGCCAAGCCTTCCTCTGCTCTTTGCGCGTGCTGATTTCATGGATGCTGACAAGAAAAAAAAAAGACAAGCCTTCCTCTACTCTTTGCGTGTACTGATTTCATGGATGCTGACAATATCATTTTTGTACTTGCTGGCCTGAACATCTGAATCAGAGGTCACATTCAAGGATGCATCTGCACATGGTCTTCATGTACGAAAGCAACACAGACTATACCTAAGTGGTATGGGCATTTTAATTAAAAGGACCAGTATAGTTAGTTCACCCCACCTCTGTCATGGGATTTTCCTGCAGCTAGCAAAAACAGCATAGTTGTCAAAGATTCTGTTTTATACCTTCCAACTTCCTTTTCTTTATCATTTCCCACATTGTGCAACCTGCTGGTTGATGGTAACAATAGACAAGTTTGC